AGAAAATGTCACCATATGCCGACCGTCACCAGGATGAGCATGAAGGAAGGGCTATAGATGCTGCATGCATCATTTAGAGAGTTAACATTAGATTATTGCTGCAGCTCCTTCAGTTATTTACTGTCACAGGTAGAGATGGGAAGTAATGAAGTACAAATACTTCATTACTGTACTCAAGTAGATTTTTCTCATATTTTTACTTTACTACATATTTTTATGGCGACTTTTTACTTCTACTCCTTACATTTTTACACAAATAACTGTACTTTCTACTCGTTACTTTAGTTTTGAATCATTTCAATGGAGTTACCGTTATTATTTTTCACGTCATCAATACCAAATTCAATCTAATTGGATGGGAATCTACGTTGCATTTGACGCACCACTACAAGATGAATCGACAGACTCGGCGGTATTCATTGGCGGCAAATCATTGCAGCTTGGTGGCGGTGGCGTTAGCATAGTAGCATGGACGACGAGATGATTGAAAATGAACACAACGGAGATCTAGTCCTGTTGGCAGACATCCATTTAAAATGGAGGCAACGGCATGAAAAAAGTGGTTTCTACTTTTACTTTTATACTTTAAGTAAATTTACAAGCCTGTACTTTGTTACTTTTACTTGAGTAAAGAAGTTTAATCAGTACTTCCACTTTTACCAGAGTATTTTTTAACACAAGTATCTGTACTTTACTCAAGTACGGAAAGTGAGTACTTTTGCCATCTCTGGTCACAGGTAGGAGATTTAAGGAGGACCCGCCCACCGGGTAAACGCCCGCATCACAGATTAGCAGTCCGAACCTGAACAGAACCTTACTGGACCGCTGACATCACTTCCTGTTTCAGTTCCCATTCATTAAACGACAACATAATGAAAGATTTTACTGTAGCTGCTCCAACTCTGAGAGCGGCCATTTTTGCCCAAATAAATACATTAGGGCCAAATATATTATAGCAAATAAACACGAAAAAGAAATGGAGATCATTTTTTATTACGTGTCAGTTTATGTGCTTTACTGACTAAACTGGTGAGTAGTTGAGTTTTTCCTCAATGGGAACCACTTTAACTTGCAGTTTTCTCTAATTACTGATGGAGCATCCATGTTTCACACCAACACAGCCATGGACGACCTTCTGCACCGTTTCTGGCCTTCAATCAGACCCACAGCTAAAGGCGAGTCAGAGAAGGCTGCAGGTGCGTAGAGGAAGTCAAGTATTGCTATAAGCTAATGCTACTTACTACTATAACCTACTGCTAGCTTACTGTAGTGGCCTCAATCATACAATGATGATGAGTTTGAACATAACGACTGGAATCAGAACAACGGAGGAAATGAAATGGTTTCCGTTGGTAACGGCACCATTTAGTTACTCACTGAAAACAGGCTGTAAGTTGGTGGTAATGAATAGGGGTGTAAATCACATCCATCATGGCGATTCGATTCAGTATCGATTTCCTGACCCAACGATTCGATTATTTTCGATACTCAAGAATACACCACGATTCGATTCGATTAATCGATTAATCGGTTATTTTTTATTTTTTTTATTTTTTTTTTTTACACCTTACAGGCTAAACAAAGTTTAAAGTTTGAAATAAATCAATGAAAGCTGTAATATCATTATGCAATGCACCTATAAGTTGTTTGCCAACCGCCATTAAAAAACAGAAAAAGAAGAAGGCTTCAGAGTGTTGACGTCACCGCCCCCTTGAGAGACGCTCCGCTGCTCCTCTCCCAGATTGTAGATGACCGCAAACAGCGCAGCAGACAGGAGGCCGGCTTGTTTTGTTTTTATGACCGAAATTGCGGAAAACAACTCGTGAAGTTTGACCCGCTAGAAGAGCGAGGTGCGCAAGAACGCTGGGACCCTTTTTCCAGCTGAATCTCCGCTCTTTTTGCCCTCATGTCCCTTCGTCGTCAGACTAAACTCGTCCCCACTTCCTCGCCGCCTCGGCCGTATCTAGACCCACAGCGTGTAGCACAGACCACGCTTCAATATTGAGCATAATTTAAAAATGTCTGTGTGAAGCTCACTGCAACACACTGCTGTAAGAGTATAACCAGGAAGCGTAGGAGGGCAAAATAGATTTAGCGGCACCGCAGCACGGGAGGGAGAATTACGCCCAGGAGCAAATGGATAAAAATAGACCGGAGGAAAAAAAAACATGAATCGATTATCTAGCGGACGTGTCGATGCATCGGATCGTCGGCTTTTGGATCGATGCATCGATACAAAACGATTATTATTTACACCCCTAGTAATGAAGAAGGACCAACAGTCCCTCCAGCTGTTTGTGGTGTGCAGCCTGGAAAACCTCAGCTGGACCTTCCTGACGCTTTCTATAGCTCATCCAAGATGGACGAACAGTTTCTAATGATCTTTAAGGCCAATGTGATCAGACTGACTCTCAGAAACTGCTGAAGTTTCTTCACCATCTTATATAATAACTGTAGAAGAATCAGCAATCCAGTGCGTCCCGCTCTGCTCCAGGCTACCATTACTCCCAGTTGGACCTTTCCTACCCAGCTGGTCCACTTCACAGCCAAACAACCAGACTTCTCTGCCTGCAGCAAGTTTCAAACCAGCACCCAGTTTCAGGTATAACTTTACAGCACAGAGAGCCGTAGATTAAAACTAAGAATAAAGACTCACAGATCATTGGCAACAGGAAGATGGATTAATAAGAGTGTGAATATGACCTAGCAGTTACCGTGGCAACAACCTCAGAGTGTCACATGATCATTAGTGTAGGATAAATGACACCCTGAAGGTGCTAGGTTTACCACCGTTGATGAACAACAGCAAATTGTTGTCCGTTTCTCAATTCACAAAAACGCGAGTACAGACTCGTGTCCTCGCCAAGTCTGTTCTAGAGAAGAACCCAGGAAAGTCTGGACTCTGGGAGAACGGAGTCTGCAAAACACTCACTCACAGACACACCTGCTGCTGCACACTGCCAGCCAGATTGCTGAACTAAGGCTCCTCTTTTTTTCCAACAATGAAAATTGGCCATCATGCTAGGTTAGCCTATGCTAGCCGGCTGATGGTGGGCTGCACTGCGCTCCAGAAAGATCTAGGATTTGATCTATATTTCATCTCATAAATCATACGGGACGTCATGGGAGGAGAAGAGAAAAACCAACAGGAGAAAAGGAGGAGCTAGCTGCATGTCAGCGAGATGACAGAAACATAGCCCCCTTTCTTTCTAGGTTGGCGCAAAAGTTTAGAGGGAGCAGGAGCAGTTGAATCAGTCAATCAGACGTTTGCACATCATGACCTGCTGCTGCTTTCCATTTACAGCCACACTCTGCTCTTCTACCAAACCAAGCTCATCTCTTACAGCCTGTTCCAAAGTTATGCCCCGCTGGGTTCCTCTGTAGCAACGTTTGCTGCCTGCGTGTATTTGCTCAGCAATGATCAAGCAAAGGAAAAACAAAAGGAAGTTTCACAGCATCTCTGCAGTAGCAAAAAACCCTTTGAGGGAAGCTGCAACGTTAGTAGCGAGCAAAGGCGAGTCAGACGATCTCGATGAGATGCATCGCTTGTACTGCAGGAATATCAGCTTTAAAGTCGTAGGGAAATCATATTTAAATGTCAAATCATTCTGGCTTAAACATGTATATAAATGTACTCTTTGTCAGACGATATTGTCTAGAAATTTAAAATATTCAATAAATAAAAAAAAAGAAATCAGAAAAAATAATGTTTGCGTTATCTTCTGCGGGCCAGTTAGTTCTACGTCAGCCTGAACACCTAAATTCGGCCAATCATATCAACGGTCATCTGTCAATCACATTTTTTTGGTCATAGCATCTTGATTCATATGTCGGAGCTAATATACGCAACAGTTGAAATAAGAATCTTCGCAGAGTAGTGGTGATAGTGGTATAGTTGGGGAGCGAATTGTTGGCCGTTTCGCAATTCACTAGAACGCGAGTACGGACTTGTCTCCTCGCCAAGCATGTTCTTGAGAAGAACACAGAAATGTCTGGACTCGGGGAAAACAGGAGCAAGCAGCATACATCTGGGTCAATCGGAACAGATGACATCATCACACGCTCAGGTAGTCTGGAGCTGCATTTCACTAACCTGACTCTGTCAGATTGATTTGCTCCGCATATCCATCTGGAAACCTTCCGTTGAAGTCATTTTGGGAAGGGGCGAAAATACTGGTTAGCTGATTGGCCTATGTTGGTGATAGACGGGCCAAATAAACCAATCAGATCAACGAAGCATATGACGTACTAACAGAGTGACGACGAAAACACAACCGCAAGCCAGGCTACTCTTGCCGAAACCAGTCGGGAGAAGAGCAAAAACATCTTTTCCTCTGAGAAAAGCCTCCAGAGCAGTGTTTTGCTCTTCTTTCAGTGAAGAAATACTCTGTAATTCCGATAAAACTTGCTCGATAGCCACGCTAACGCTAGTTTCATCGGCTGAAGCCGCCATGTTCTTTAGACTGAACTATCGCGCTTCTCGTTGCGTCACACCTCAACCCGCCTCAAAGCCAACGCTGATTGGACGTTCGTTTGGTGAACGGCTCCAAATTTTCTTTAACGGAGAGTCTCCAGACTGATCTGCGAGTGAAACCTTGAAAGCTCGCGAGATCAGGATGGTCTCACGAGGCTAGCATTTCACCTCCTGTTATCAAAAGTCACTAGATAAAAATGGTTAGCAACGATGCTTCTGAGCCACGAACTGACCACGATCAACCGACCATGATCAACCGACCACAATCAAACTTGCTTGCAAACCTTCTGCCACAACAATCCTGCAACCCTTGATAAACCACCAATCAAATTCACTTTATTGACTCGTGTAAAGTCGTGCACCACCAAGGAGAATTGGGAACGGCCGTTTCCCTACGACTTTAAGGAATCATTTGAATGGAAGCATATGAAACCAAAGGAATGATTGTGAAAGGAGACCTATCTCTGCTAAGGTCGGTACGTCTGGTTTCCCCCCCGTCCCCCCCGGGTTCGGTAGAAACACTCACGGTTTTTGGTGGTGCAGGGTGTGGGCATGGTGGTTATTGGCAGCGTTGGCTCTGTGCAGTCGTTCCAGACGCTCCTTCTCCTTCTCCACAAAGTTGGTGTTAGTCCCGGTGCTGGTGGAGGGCGCTCGGGTCAGCCGGCTGTGGGCCCGCGGCTGATCTCTGGGCGGGATGGGAGGGGGCGGCGGGGGTGGGGCTGGGCTGGTGGGGGAGGTTGGAGCTGGGATCTGGGTGGGAACATAGATGGAGGCGGGGTTTGATGGCGCTCGAGCAGGAAGAGAAGTCGCGGCGCTGCTATTGTAGGAGTGATGGTGGTGGTGGTGGTGCTGCTGGTGGGGGTGATGGTGAGACTGGTGGCTGTGGTGGAGAGTGATGGAGGCGGGGGGCGGAGGCGGAGCCTGGCTGTTATGGTGGTGATGGTTCTTGGATGCCGTGCTGTGAGCTGGAGGCGGAGGCGGGGGAGGAGGCGGGAGGGGAGGCTCGGGAGGAGGAGCGGGCGGTGGAGGAGCAACAGGCTGCCGGTCCAAACGCAGGTCTTTATTCTCCTGGCTGAGGCGGTCCAGTTGGACCTCCAGTTCCTCGATTCGCCGCCGCTGCGTTTCCAGAAGCTTCTGCTGGCTCTCGATGATGTTGTTGAGCTCTAGCAGGTACTCCACAGCGCGGTTCGGGCTCTCCGGACTGCCTGCACCCGGAGCCTGGCTGGCATCCATGACGGCGGGCTGAGACCGAACGCACCGGCGCAGGATTTAAAGGAGGGTCACTGATGGTCCGCTTAGGTCCCGCTGGAGCTAAATGAGCTGAAAGAAAGGTCTAATCTACTGGCTAAACTACACCCTGCAGCCCTGAGGCCTACACCTTCAGACAGGAAGTTCCCCAACCCTCCCCCCCACCGGAGGTGAGTGGGGGGGAGAGGACCTTTCCCCTATAAGTTCTGATTTAAAAATCAAGATGAGTGTCTTCCCTGAGTGCTGCGGGCAGGAAGTCCATCAGGGCGAAGCAGCATTCCCTGCCCTGGCGTTCCCAGCAGAGCGAGCAGATCCCACAGACACGATGTTCCAACTGCTCAGCGATTCTCACTGATCTCCATCCAGGACTGAAGCTTCCAGTATCAGACGGCTGTCTGTCTGTCTCTGTGGAGGAACTGTATCAGGGCCCGCAGCTCCTGGTTCATCCTGCAGAGGGAGCAGCTCTGCAACACGTCGACTAATCCCCGGCTTCCCTGCAGCGCCTCATGACGTCATCCTGGGATCAGGAAAACGCTGTAATGTTCCAACACTTCTCTTAAATCATAAAAAGCCAACGGATAGCGTCAGACAACAATCATCTTCTGTTGTAGGCGGAGGATGGCGACCCCGTTTGTTCCATCCTGCAGGCTGCATGAAACTGGGCAGGATCTCTGGACCCTCACTTATAATCACAGCTCCAAGGACACGATGAGGCGTCCAGGATCATTCCTTCCAATGACGCTTCCCGTTCTGCTTCTTCCTGCCGAAATACATGAAGGAAGAAGAGAGAGAAGTGGATGAGAAGCAGAATCAACAGGTAATCCGACCTACAATGATTTCCTGCAGGCGTTTCTGAAGCAACTAACTCATGTTCCCTTCCTGATCTCACCAACCGATCTTTCCTCTCACTCCTCTCCCTCCCTTTGTTCTCTCTGGTCACATGCACGGTTTCCGCCTTCAGAAAAATCCTCCCAAATTCAGCATCTCCTCCCACACTCCATCACTATTCATCTCCACATGCCTCTCCATCTCTTCGCTTCTCTCCCTCAGAGCTTCCAGCTTACTACATGTGCAGCATTAAATTGGTGTCAAATGTCAAATATATTTATACTGAATATTTCAGCTGGAGCTCACCAAAGACAGTATGCAAGAAAAACAAACACTGTCAAAGGAAAAAGACGGATCTATGTGGAATGGAGAGACATTTAGTAAATGGATGTTTGCAAATAAGCAAAAGATCTCCAAACTGGTGGCATCGTTTCATTCCAATCAAAACCAGTTGGACTTCGGCCTGGTTCTGCTGGAGGTTTCTTCCTGTTCAAAGGGAGTTTTTCCTCTCCACTGTTGCTACAAGCATGCTTAGTGTGAGGGATTGCTGAAGAGTCAATGAGTCGATGCAATCAGCTGGCTTTCCTTAGATAGAAAACTTTGAATCAATCTGACTGGATGATCTGGTTGGTCTGGATCTATAAAGTGACTTGATGTGAAAAGGAGCTATAGAAATCAACTGAATTTAAATATATTAAATCTGAGTTTAGACAAATATGACATTAAAAACTAAGAATTTACCAAACTGGGGTTTAAAGCAGTGGAAAAGTTACAATCAGGCTTTTAGCTAGCAATGCGTACTTTGATAAAACAATGACAAATTGTACGCCGTTTCTGGGGTGTATGGCTTTGGTACGCCCTAATTTACCGTGAGAAACTTTGCTCAAAAGTTCAAAATTTCCCAAGCAGCAGCTGCTGGAGTTGGAGACATTGACCTTTAGCTGCTGGACGCGCCGCATCAACCAATGAGAGCAGCTGATCTGGGAGCTGGCAGGGAGTCAGACGCAGCACTGCTGATGCAGAGCGCTATGATCACTCCTCTGAAACAGTTTATTAACGCCTAAATTAACTTCAAATGTAGAAACCTGCCGGCAGAATATGTTGGCTTTTATTATCCTGCTGCCTGCAGTTTGTAGCACAGACCTGAAAAACGCTAACATCTACTTCCAGCCGCCACCAACAGGAGGGGAAAACCCTGGAGAGGCGAGCGGGCCTGAGGCAGCTGCTGCTGGGGATTCCCAGTGACAGCGCAGCGCCGGTATGTGGGGGTCTGAGCGGCTCCCACAGAGAAATAATCTTTGAAGGCAGGATGGTAATCTGGATGAACTGACTGCACAGACCATGTTTTCAGGAGGACTTTCTCACTTCAACATAGATGAAAAACTACTTTCTACCCGCTGATCACAGCTAATATAGCAAAGCTGCTCTCTGGCGTCGAACACAGGAGCCTAAATCCTAAAGCAGAGGTCGGATCCAAACCCACCTGGTGGCTAATGCGGACATAAACAGATTTAAAACATTTATAAATTACTGCATGTTGACCGACAGTGTCTAAACTTCCCTTGCGCCTCTTCTCCTGTTAATACGGTAAAGCCATGGGGAGCGTCCGGCTCCAGGCTGCACGTGATCCAAATGAGCCAATGAGCTGTCAGTCTGGGTTGCTGCTGCTGCTACTTTTAGACACAGCAGGCAAACCTGTGGCAAGCCGGGCGATGGGAAAGAAGGAGAAGACCATGAGAAAAAGAGAGCAGAGAAAGTGTGGACTGCTGGAAGAACTGCGGTGAACTGGTGAAAGAAAAGTGAAATGGCGTGCTCAAAGATGAACCTGCACATTTAGAGGATGTTTGGCTCAACCTGCTGCTGTGAAGCAGGATTCTCCACCATGAACAGAATCAACAATAAATCTGGATCCAGGCTCAGAATGAGCTCCTTGATATGTGCTTGAGAATGGCTTAGTCTCCGGTTAAACCCAGGTTTAAAGCCTTGCAGGGCAGCCTAAAGCCCACTGCCAACATTAAGACAGAAAAAAGAAAGAAAATAACAAACCATCAGTTCAGGGGTTTGAGAAAATATGGGAATCAGGAAATTATCTATAAACCAAACTGAACGATTGTTGTTCTCTACTTCAAAACGTAACATTGATGCATAAAAACCTTATTTTATTTTGATGTTTAATTCTGTTTAAAGTAACAGATTATAATGAGAAAGCTCTCTGGACCTTCGCTGGTTGATGTAGAGAATCAAACAAATAAGCCCGTCATCATCATGGGCCAGGAAATGTCGTGTTCCCAGGAAACGCATTTCCTCCTAATCCTCCCTGATTTGTTTCGTCTTCCAAGGTTTTCCGCCGCTGTGACATCATCCATCATACATCTTCGCGTCACGATGATGTCACAATATATGAGGCGCATGTATGAGGGGCTGTGAGGCGCGTGTATGAGGGGCCGTGAGGCGCGTGTATGAGGGGCCGTGAGGCGCGTGTATGAGGGGCCGTGAGGCGCGTGTATGAGGGGCCGTGAGGCGCGTGTATGAGGGGCCGTGAGGCGCGTGTGTGAGGCGCGTGTATGAGGGGCCGTGAGGCGCGTGTATGAGGGGCCGTGAGGCGCGTGTATGAGGGGCCGTGAGGCGCGTGTATGAGGGGCCATCAGGCGCGTGTATGAGGGGCCATCAGGCGCATGTATGAGGGGCCGTGAGGCGCATGTATGAGGGGCCATCAGGCGCGTGTATGAGGGGCCATCAGGCGCGTGTATGAGGGGCCGTGAGGCGCGTGTATGAGGGGCCGTGAGGCGCGTGTATGAGGGGCCGTGAGGCGCGTGTATGAGGGGCCGTGAGGCGCGTGTATGAGGGGCCGTGAGGCGCGTGTATGAGGGGCCGTGAGGCGCGTGTGTGAGGGGCCGTGAGGCGCGTGTGTGAGGCGCGTGTATGAGGGGCCGTGAGGCGCGTGTATGAGGGGCCGTGAGGCGCGTGTATGAGGGGCCGTGAGGCGCGTGTATGAGGGGCCGTGAGGCGCGTGTATGAGGGGCCGTGAGGCGCGTGTATGAGGCGCGTGTATGAGGGGCCGTGAGGCGCGTGTGTGAGGCGCGTGTATGAGGGGCCGTGAGGCGCGTGTATGAGGGGCCGTGAGGCGCGTGTATGAGGGGCCATCAGGCGCGTGTATGAGGGGCCATCAGGCGCATGTATGAGGGGCCGTGAGGCGCATGTATGAGGGGCCATCAGGCGCGTGTATGAGGGGCCATCAGGCGCGTGTATGAGGGGCCGTGAGGCGCGTGTATGAGGGGCCGTGAGGCGCGTGTATGAGGGGCCGTGAGGCGCGTGTATGAGGGGCCGTGAGGCGCGTGTATGAGGGGCCGTGAGGCGCGTGTATGAGGGGCCGTGAGGCGCGTGTATGAGGGGCCGTGAGGCGCGTGTATGAGGGGCCGTGAGGCGCGTGTATGAGGGGCCGTGAGGCGCGTGTGTGAGGCGCGTGTATGAGGGGCCGTGAGGCGCGTGTATGAGGGGCCGTGAGGCGCATGTATGAGGGGCCGTCAGGCGCGTGTATGAGGGGCCGTCAGGCGCGTGTATGAGGGGCCGTCAGGCGCGTGTATGAGGGGCCGTCAGGCGCGTGTATGAGGGGCCGTGAGGCGCGTGTATGAGGGGCCGTGAGGCGCGTGTATGAGGGGCCGTGAGGCGCGTGTATGAGGGGCCGTGAGGCGCGTGTGTGAGGCGCGTGTATGAGGGGCCGTGAGGCGCGTGTGTGAGGCGCGTGTATGAGGGGCCGTGAGGCGCGTGTATGAGGGGCCGTGAGGCGCGTGTATGAGGGGCCGTCAGGCGCGTGTATGAGGGGCCGTCAGGCGCGTGTATGAGGGGCCGTCAGGCGCGTGTATGAGGGGCCGTCAGGCGCGTGTATGAGGGGCCGTGAGGCGCGTGTATGAGGGGCCGTGAGGCGCGTGTATGAGGGGCCGTGAGGCGCGTGTATGAGGGGCCGTGAGGCGCGTGTATGAGGGGCCGTCAGGCGCGTGTATGAGGGGCCGTCAGGCGCGTGTATGAGGGGCCGTCAGGCGCGTGTATGAGGGGCCGTGAGGCGCGTGTATGAGGGGCCGTGAGGCGCGTGTATGAGGGGCCGTGAGGCGCGTGTATGAGGGGCCGTCAGGCGCGTGTATGAGGGGCCGTCAGGCGCGTGTATGAGGGGCCGTCAGGCGCGTGTATGAGGGGCCGTCAGGCGCGTGTATGAGGGGCCGTCAGGCGCGTGTATGAGGGGCCGTCAGGCGCGTGTATGAGGGGCCGTCAGGCGCGTGTATGAGGGGCCATCAGGCGCGTGTATGAGGGCCATCAGGCGCGTGTATGAGGGGCCATCAGGCGCGTGTATGAGGGGCCATCAGGCGCGTGTATGAGGGGCCATCAGGCGCGTGTATGAGGGGCCATCAGGCGCGTGTATGAGGGGCCATCAGGCGCGTGTATGAGGGGCCATCAGGCGCGTGTATGAGGGGCCATCAGGCGTGTGTGTGTGTATGAGGGGCCATCAGGCGCGTGTATGAGGGGCCATCAGGCGCGTGTATGAGGGGCCATCAGGCGCGTGTATGAGGGGCCATCAGGCGCGTGTATGAGGGGCCATCAGGCGCGTGTATGAGGGGCCATCAGGCGCGTGTATGAGGGGCCATCAGGCGCGTGTATGAGGGGCCATCAGGCGCGTGTATGAGGGGCCATCAGGCGCGTGTATGAGGGGCCATCAGGCGCGTGTATGAGGGGCCATCAGGCGCGTGTATGAGGGGCCATCAGGCGCGTGTATGAGGGGCCATCAGGCGCGTGTATGAGGGGCCATCAGGCGCGTGTATGAGGGGCCATCAGGCGCGTGTATGAGGGGCCATCAGGCGCGTGTATGAGGGGCCATCAGGCGCGTGTATGAGGGGCCATCAGGCGCGTGTATGAGGGGCCATCAGGCGCGTGTATGAGGGG